AAGAATAAGAGAGAGAGAGAGAGAGAGAGAGAGAGAGAGAGAGAATTTCAGGCTGAGGGAAAATCTGTTTGAGCCAGAAAATATTACGATCAATGGTGCCCACCATTTCAGAACTTCACAGAGACCTTAAAGATGGTACCAGTAGGGAACGGTATAGAGGATGCCCACGTCCCTTGTGACTCTTTGGAGCAGAGGAAGATAGGACTACCGCAAATATTACTTAAACACTATCCTACAAAATCTCTCATTACCACCATAATTTCTAAAATCGTCTTTGCTCTCAGATCATTGACTTACATCTATAATCCTTGAATCTCTATCTGTAACAGTTGCATGTCATACTAAGTATGCACGTAATACACTATTAGACACGATCATACGCACTCTTTTCTACTAATCAGATGGCATCAGTTTCAGTTTTAGTAGAGATTTTACGGTGCTTGCAACTGCATAAGATCAAATGAGCGCCAGAAGATTAGAACTGTTACAAGGGAGCAACAAACATAAAAAAGAAAAGAAAAAGGGGAGATAAAGACGATAGATGTTTGATATGAAAGAAGAGGAAAACCCCACCAGAGCACCCGGCAACCACCCACAGCGTCAATCTCATGTAAATGGGCAAGGGGTTAAAGAATAAGGCTAAAGAACTAGGACCTGTGCCGGTCACACCCTCTAACCACCCGCACGAACCAGTTGGCAAACCAACCAACAGACAAATGAAACACTTGGATACCTCAGATGTACAAAGTTAGTTTTAGAAGAGTTTTACGGCACATGCAACACAATAAGGTCATATAAGCGTCAAAGATTAGAGGTGTTACAAGAGAGTAACAAACACAAAAAGAAGGAGGGGAGATAAGTACGATAGATGTTTGATAGGAAAGAAGGAGCAAACCACTACAGAGCACCCGCCAACCACCCACAAATACAAAGTTATATCTGCTCAGTACCTTGTGTAGAGAAATTTGACGTAAATTTCTTTTTAAATTTCACAACTTGTCAAGCTTTTTCGAAAGCAGGTCTTTGAGTATCTTGATAAAGACTCCGAATAATCTTGAGATTTTGATAGAGTAGACAGAGCAGTTGGTTTCTGGTCTCATGGTCTTAGTAAGTAACTCAAAACGGCCAAAATTGTCCGATAGATCTGTGTAATTCTAAGGTAGCGACTTTTTAGTTAGTTAGTTTGTTTCAATAAAAGCGAAACGCATTGACTCAATAATGGTCATTTAGTGATGTGGAAAAAGAAAGACACACAGACAGAAACAACAGAGGGGAAAGTAAAGAAATCGGACCTATCAGAGGCGTTCCCCAAAAACCCGCGACAAACGGAACATAAACCAGGAAAGAACAAAAACAAATATCAAACAAACAAACAATACATACACACAAAAAACTTAGTAACAGACAAACAAACAAACAAACAATACATACACACACAAAACTTAGTAACAGACAAACAAACATACGAACAATAAACTGAGTAACAAATAAACAAACAAACCTAAAAAGGTTGCTGTACTCACCATGCTATAAGTTCCTTAGTAAAAGAAACAGCATTCAGAAACGAAGAACTTCGAAACAAGAGTTCTTCTCCAGCGAAAGTCGAAAAAAGGCCTCCCTAACAGCCAGAGGGATTTTTCTTCACGAAATTCTTCACAACTTTTCTTTCTCCTCCTGTCTCTACAGATTAGAGAGATTTCCTTCACGATAGTCGTTCTCACAGTAGTTTTTTCACCTCCTATATTTATATAAAAGGTGACTTTTTAGGACAAGCGGGCTAACCCAGAATTTGGGGGTTTCTAATTCTAGAAATCTTGACGTACACCAAAAGTGGGCTTTGCCCTACCTATAGGAGAAGTTTGGTTTCATTGGTGTGTATATTTGTTTCTCCATAGAGAAAACCCTCAATGTCTCTTAAAGAAACTGAACAAGGGGCAAAAACTTAACCTTCGAATTCCTCAAAACAGCATTTTCCGGGATAGCCCCCTTGTGCTTAAAAGCGACCAAATAGAGATATTCTTCACGATATTTTCATATTTACAACTACCTCTAGATTCTATCTGCTTCACGGTAACGCCTCAAAGAACAGTTACAAGATCACTCAACAGATTTCAGAGTATACATGCGATCATTATAACGATATCAGAGATCTATATATCTCTCTTCCTATCTCTTTTTCTATACCTGTTCTTTTTTCTATTTTTTATACCTCTCTTTCTATCACTTTCTTTCCTTACATAACTATCTCTCTCTAGTTGTCTGTCACTATCTATCTCTCGATCTCTCACTCTTCTCAAACTATGTGGAACTCGTCTCTCTCTCTCTCTCTCTCTCTCTCTCTCTCGATGTTTCTCTCCTATTTGATTATGTATGTGGAACTCGGCTCTCTATCTGTCTATCTCTCTATCAATCTCCCTCTCTCTCGATCTCTCTATCTCTCTCTCTCTTTCGATCTCTCACTCCTCTCAGACTATGCATGAGGAACTCGGCTCTGTTCTATCTGTCTCTATATCTATCTACCTATCTCTCCCTCGATCTCTCACTCTATCTATCTCTCACTCCCCTCAAACTATTCCTATAGAACTCTGATCCAACTACCACTACACATACCAACACCACCACTACCACAACTAGTAGCAGTAACAACAACACGACCAACAACACGACCGAACCCGTCTGAGTCGGAGTGTCAGTTTATCCCACCACACAGTAGACAAGAGTACCTCCTCGACTGCTCCCACAGCTATGCTTGTCCCACCTCGTCGAATGCCATGCTATGCCTAGCAACTCAAACTCAAACTGTGATCGGAAAGCATAGCGCCGGAGCGGGGCAAGCCAGTCGATAATAAGTGCGTGTTCCCCTTGTATACCTTAGCAATGCCACGGCTTTGAAAACCGCGGGGG